AGTACTTATTTAGGTCACATAGAATGGGAATCAGTAGAGAGCTTTTTTTTTTTTTTTTTTGGGATACCCTATTTTACAAATATTAAAAAAAAAAACACTAAATATTGTTAGCAATAAAAGGCTATTTAAAAAAAAAAGTTCGTATAAAAGCTCTAATAAAATATCTTATTATTATGTATAAAAAATCAAATATACTGAATGATCACCGTTAAACACCGCCCCCTCTTCCCCGGATGTGGAAAACCATACCTCCACTGCGTGGAGAAATAGGGGAAGTGGTCATAAATATTTTTTAATGAAATTTGGCAGGCACATAGAAAATAGATTTATACAGTTGCCTGGAAAATTTAAAAAGTGTACCAACATGTCTTCAATATTAACGCACCTCCGGAACAGAAACAAAATTTTAAAACTGAATAAAAATCACTGGTAATTGTAAAAAAACAACAGAATTTATAACAAGAAGTAACACTAACAGTAGCAGAATCAGTTTAATAAAGTGTAACAGTAACAGTAACAGTAAAAATGGTGGAAATTGAACCTCCACTGGATTGAAAACTACGTTATGTGGTCATGAATATTTTTAAAATATTTTTGCAGGCACATAGAAAATTGATTTATACAGTTGACTAAAAATTTTCAAAAATGTACCAACATGCCTTCAATATGAATGCACTTCCAGAAAAGGAACAAAATTTTAAATAGCAATAAAATAACTGAAAAATTAATTAACCGTAAAAAAAACACAATTTGTTCAACATTAAACATTCGACTTTTTTAATAAAGTCTGAGCTGATATAAAATTGTATTAAAAAAAAAAAAAATGCATCCTTACCACACCTTATATCCTTATCACACGATATACAAGAGAACTGCAAGTCCAAATACATCATTTTGAGATAATGAACAAAAAAGTTTTTTGTGGAATAGTTAAATTAAAAATTTTTATAACTCATTAATTGATTTATTAAATTTATGTTTCTAAATTTTATTTATATCAAACGATAATGCCAAAAATAGACATGCAGTTTCCTTGTATGCCAACAATATATATAGACACACACAAATTGTTTTTACTATGTTTCATAAAAACACTTCTAAGTTTGACATTTTTGCTGGTGTTGGATATGCTTTAATGTAATTTTTATTTATTTATAGTGTACCACAAAGACCACCTAAATCAGAATAAATAAGTTGTTTCAAGACTTACTCATTAATATGAGCAGCACGACTACAAGACCGGATATATAGACTTTTAATCATATATCTGAATATCTATTTGCATTCATTACTAATAGAACATTTAAGAAAACCATGCCTATGTCACAATCTGTACATATAATTCACAGTGTTTCTTTTAGGTTTTTTAAGTATCCTCCAATAGGTTGAAGGATACTTAAAATTATAAAGAAAACTGCACAAGTTTGTCATGCACGTCTAACTTTCTTGACAGAAAATACTAGAGATACAATTAATTATTTGTTTGTGACATTTGATATTTGTGACACCTCTATTGAGTGTTTTTTTGAATGTTATGCTATTGTAAATAGTTTAGAATATTTTTGTTATACTATTTTTGTTATTTTTTTTTGGTAAAAAAATCTCAATATAGTTTATAATAACAATTCAAAGTTTTGCTGTTTTTTTGTTTTTAAAAAATATTTAAGAAATAATTTAATAAATTTTAATTAGTAATTAACTAATCTAGAAAGATCTATACCATGAACTAAAATGTTATACTGATGAGCTATTCTGTGTTGAATTTTAAAAATGGCTATTTTCATAACCACAAGTTATTAAAAATATCTATTAGGACGTTGAGAAACATTGTAAAGAACAAAAAATCAGATGAAAGCAGATTTGTTTATAATTTTAATAAGTTTATATTCAATGATACTGTTTATAAATTTCTAAAAAAGTTTGTAAAATTCTATAAAATATTGGCACCTACTGTTTTTTAAATTAAAAATATCCAGACTAATGCAATTTTCCGGATTTGTCAGGAATTAGTCCGGATGAACCGAAAAAGATGCACTAATCTGTTATTTTATAAAAGCCGGATATTTTTCTTTTAAATATAGAAATATAAACAAAAATTCGATGTTTTGTGAAAAAATCAGCTCAATATGTTGAATGCTTCTTTGTTTATAAGCCTATTTCCTCATTTTGCATAGGAGCAACGCATAGTGCTATGTTACATCCAATATGAATATTTTTAATATTGAAAATCAGTGTTTTTATATAAAATATAAACAAGAACGGTGAAAAAATTCCACCTTGTCATACACCATTGCTTATGTTAAAGCTATCAGAGTATTTAACTGTATTTTTTAAATAATATGTACAAGACATTCTAATGAGATTCGATTCTTTCCAATAAAATATGTTTAAGTATTTTAAAACAAGCAGGAGATATTGTGATTGCTCTGTAATTATTTACATCTATCAAGTCTCCAATTTTAGATTTTACTAGAGGTGCTATTGTGGCTTCACAAAATTTCCATGGCAAATCTCCATACAACAAGCGTAAACTAACAAAAATACTTAAAAAGTTTATGTCCTCCATATATAAATGATTCCATAAACATGTCATATATGATCCATCATGTATATATATATATATATATACATATATATATATATACATATATATATATATATATATATATATATATATATATATATATATATATATATATATATATATATATATATATATATATATATATATATATATATACATATATATGTATATATATATATATATATATATATATATATATATATGCTATATATATATGCTATATATATATGCTATATATATATATATATATATATATATATATATATATATATATATAGCATATATATATATATATATATATATATATATATATATATATATATATATATATATATATATATATATAGCATATATATATATATATATATATATATATATATATATATATATATAGCATATATATATATATATATAGCATATATATATATATATATATATACATATATATATATATATATATATATATATATATATATATATATATATATATACATATATATATGTATATATATATATATATGTATATATATATATATACATGACGGTTAGAATTTAAATTATTGTCTATGGAGTAGCAAAGTGTTTACCCAATTATAATTAGTTTTATAATTTTTATTATATAAAATCATGGCCGTCCAAAAAAGTATGAATAATAAAATAGACACATTCGAGATAAAACTTCGAGTGAAAATGTTTTACTTTACAGACTTAACTCAATTATTTTTATGAAAAGTCCCTTGCTAAGAATACGTCTCGGTAGCTTGGTTTATAATGAAACATGTTGCTTTTTTCATTAAATTGTAGAATTAGAATTATACTATCGAATTGCAATGAGTGTAATTTAATAATGTTTCTAATAAACTATTTAAAATTGATTTATAACCGAATTATTCATATATAACAGCAGAAAAGAATTATTAAAGTCAAAATATTTTTATTATAAATAACCTTTTGACATGCTACTTTTTTCTAATGTATAATAAAGGTTACAAACATTAACATCGGAAAGTATGGCAATATATAACTTCTCCCTCGATGAGCGAAATAGACAAATATGAGCGTTCTTAACAACATCTCGTGAATATTCAAAAATTTCAAGTTTATTTAAATTTTTACTAGCGCAATATAATTAAAGAGGAGCTAATTTAATCAGATTTGTTGAAAAATTTAAAGTATTATATTTGGAACCTGGCAAAATAAAAATTTTACTTTTTATTTTATTAAAAATCGCGTTTTTTACAAAAATGTCCTTAACTACATCGAGTATGAGGTGAAATGCGTATTGTTTCAATATCCATTTCTATTGCTAATTAAATTCCTTGAATAGTCACATAAAAATATAACAATGTTTTCCCCATCCACTTATGTACAAAAGTCATGATGTAAAAGTCAATAAATCTTATAATCAGTATATCCGCTTTTACTGCAATCTACTTTTATACCTAAAAGAAATTTAGATGCACCTAGAATCTTTGTCTCCTTAAAAAAGAAAAATAGTTATAAGCTGCCGCATTGACAGTAACACATGCAAGTACTAAAATGTATATAGTAAATAGTGAGTGTATAAAAATATACTTACTATTTACTATATACATTTTAGAAGATATAAATCATCGATAATAACCAATCGAAATTAATAATCAACCAAAGCAAGCAGACTTAACTAATTTAGCGCATAATAATATTTTATGCGCTAAGTTGATATATAAATTTATCTACTTTACCTAATGTGAGCTAATATGTTATATTAACTAATATAAAAAGCCTGTTTCTTTCATAGATAAAATCTAAAGTTTTATAGTGCATTTAGAGCACTATTTGCTTTCCTTTCAAGCGGCCATCTGTAGTTTAAAAACTTATTTAATTCAAACACAAAATATATTTTCAATTTTACTATTTCTTAAACTAAATTTTAATATTGACAAATGATAATGCACTATGGCTATAAAAAATAAGAGATATTCAGTTTATATAAATGGTTGTAAACTCAAAACATCAGATTCAAAAAGGATTTTTCAAAAAATATATGTGAAAAATTCAAGTATTATCGAGTGCAAGCAGTGCAAATCGAATTAAGATCAAATGCAAGCAGTGCAAATCGAATTAAGATCAAATGCAAGCAGTGCAAATCAAATTAACATGTTTTGCGATTTTTAAGACTTAATTCCTAATTTTTTCAATTAATATTTAACGTGCGTGTTTGTGTAAAGACGATAATTAGCCAAACACTAAACACATATGATAATCTGAAAATATCATCAGTTTTTTTTTCTTTAGAAAAAGATACCAGCAGTTTTTCATCAACGATATCTTTTTTTACCGAAAAAAAGCAACTATATTTTACAGAAAAAAATTCTTTGCAGAAGGGCGCTTCACCAGAAACTATAAATAAAAACTATAAAAAAGAAGAGAATGATTTTATGACTACAAATATTTCTCTTTTTTTATTTAGGAAATTCTATATACATTTTGTAGAGAAAATATAAAATAATCACAATTAAACTGCATGTAATTTAAAAATTTAAAATACTTATTTTCATTTCAAAAAAGACATGTTTAGTAAAAATGTATAAACTTAAAAAAATACTGAAATGATAAGTGAGATGAACTTTTTAAAAATTATGAGTTGCATTTACTATGTTCATAAAATAAACAAAACTGAACGAAAAAATTAATTTTGGAAAGGAAAAAAAAAAAAAAAAAAGAATAAATTAAAGAAATTGTGCTGCTTGAGTTGTTTAGATGTAGGTAAAACATAAAAAAATAGTAGCGAGTGTTTCAAACAATTTATATAATTTTAATGGTTTCGCATCATTTTCAGTCAAATAATATATTAAAAAAGCCTACACAAAAATTTGTTATTACTATGAAAATAAACCTAGCACTAATCTATCACGTTTCTAATAAAGCGGTTTCATTATAACTTTTCTTAATATTGCTTGTCATGAGAACATTATCTACAGATTCTTCATTTTGAGAAATAAAAGGATTCTTGTTGATGGCAGAGCTCAAGTAATTTTTATCATTAGCAAACTGATCTTGTCCGCTAGAATTTAGTTTATATTTATTATTGTTGAAATGATGTTGAGGACTGGGTCCTACATTAGAGTTGTCAAATATTTCTGAAGTAAAATCTATTTGAAAACTTCCTAATCCAGCAGTTGTTCCTGAATATATCGAAGTCGAGTCTAACCCGTTTTGCGACAGCTGGTTCAGTATCCACGCATCATCTAACGGGGTATCTGTAGCGGAACAATACCGTTCTTGAAGTTTTGACATGGCTTTTTGTAACATAAATGAAAGTTCTCGATTTTGTGATAACAGCCGATTGACTTGGTTCTAAAATAATTTAAATTTAATAAAATTTAACAGAACAATAAAACAACTATATGCAAAAATAAAATATTTTAATGTCTTTAAAACCTAACCTGGGCTTGAATTCTACATTCTTCTGCAGTTTTTAACTGACTCCTAATACGAGAGAGTTCATTTCTTGCAGCTTCTGCTTCATGCATTTGTTGCAACAACTGATGATGATAAACTTGCTTTAACTCCAATAAAGTGAATGGTCCGTGCATTTGTACATTGAGGTCGGATATCTAGCAGAAAAATAATAGACAAGTTATCATTAATTATTATAAATTCTCGTGTTTGATTTTTGATACTAAATATACAAATTATTATATAGATAGAAGAAAGAAAATCAATTGATAATATGGAATTGACTTTAAAACACTAAAAATATTTAAAACTATTTAAAATAAATCTTGGGTAACAAATGTAATGTCTCGTTATGTGTTTTTTTGCCTGTATATTCACTCTTAACAAGGCTGCAAGCAACCACTATTAAGTTGGGAGTTGCTAGAAAATAAAGAATAGAGTTAAAGAGCAAGAAAACGGTTGACAAAAGACTTGTAGGTTGTATGAGTCAGGAAAACATGAAGATGAGAGAGTTCCAAAGGTTGAAGTGTGGGGAAGAAAACTAGGCAAATAAAAGTTTTTAGAGCATGCAGGGAAGATACAAATAAAGAATGAGGCTTTGCTGAATGGCAAGTCAAGCAAGAATGAGTTTTGGTTGATGGAACTAGAAATGATAGCTCTTTTGAGCAGCGACAATTATAGTATTTGAAAAATAGAAATAGAAAGATATGCAACTTTACAATGATAGGAGAGAGGTAGATAAAATAGGTCTGACTATGTTTACAATAAGTTTTCGAACCTTGTCTAAAAGAGAAAGAGTATCATTAGAAAAACCAGCCTAAATGTGACAACTGTATTCCATATTGGGACAAATAAGGGATTTGTAAAAGTACAGAATGGAATCAAGAGTAAGAAAATAGCAAACACGATAAAGAGAAGCAACCTTAGAAGCTACCTTAGAAGATGCTGACTGTAAGGATTGTATATATGGTTTCCATGAGAGGTCAGTAATGAAAGATAATACAAGATGTAAAGAGGACTCAGTGAGAAGGTTGTCATTCATCAATTTAGGAATGTCGACAGCATTATGATAGTTGTTTGCAGTAAATAACTGAGATTTGTTGGAGTTAAAATTTACAAGCCACTGCAAACCCCAATCTGTTACAGAAGTGATATCAGATTCAAGATGGATGACTGTTCTAAGCAATCAAAAAGAGAAGACTTTTTGTCTAGACAGGAGTAAAAAGTTAAGTCATCCGAAAATAGAGCCACTTAGGTTGTCAGTAGGATCATTAATTTAAAAAAGAAACATAACAAGACGAAGGATAGAACCTTGAGGTATTTCAGAAGTTACTGGAAATGAAGAAGAGTGTTGGCCTTTGAGATGACTTTATTTATTATTTGATAATCTCAAAAACTTTCCCAGGTACACCAAATGAAGCAAGCTTAAAAGAACAGTAGCATGCCAAACTTTATTAAAAGCATTAGATATGTCAAGAGCAATAGCCCTGACCTCATCGCCTCCATATAATGTACAATAAAATCTGAAAGTCACAGCAGTTGGCAAATCAACCATAGAGCTGATTGAAAACTGTATTGATTGTCTGACAGTAAGTTATTTGATTCAAGATAGGGTGTTAGAAATTTGTTGATCAAAAACTCAAAGACTTTGCTAACAACAGATAGAAGACTGATCAGACAATAGTTAGAGGGGTCAGAATGTTCACCATTTTATTATAACTATTAATTTATATCTATAGTTTAAATCACAAAAGACACACATCCACCTTTTTAGACAGTGCTACTTCTTGAAATATTGGCCAAAATTTTATTAAAAATAAATATTTAATGACATTAAAAAAAAACAAAGGTTACAACTTTAGTGATCTTTTGAAAGAATTTATAATTAGTTAATTAATTGAAAATCTCAAACATTGAAAACCTGTTTTCTTGAAACTGTCAAATATAGACAAGTGTATTTTGTGGTTTAAACCATCGATATAATAATAAGGGATTATCTGAAAACTTAATTGAACTTCACTATAACTGCAATGAAGTTCACAGATAAAAGTTGTACAATTTTAAGTTTTACCGTTCCCTGCGGTACTAATGGTGGAGGTAGATTGATCATTTCACGAGCTGTATCAATGTCTGTAACCAGATTAGCTTTTGAATAATGCTGTTCGGCTATTTCTTTAGAACTGGTTATTGTTTCTTCACAGGCTTCAACATCATCAATATCTGTTTCATCAGGACCTAATAGCAATCAAAAGAAAAAAATTTAAAATGGTTTTAAAAATTTAAATGAATCATATAAATTTATACATCAACTTTAAAATTGGGATAAAAAAAGAATAAATAAATAATAAAAAATAATAGTACTAGGCATAGTAAAGATAAGAAACTAAAAAAAAAACTCTACTTTTCTTATCTACTTTATCTGCTTCCGCCTCAGTTTTATTCTCCTCTGAAGGACTAATAGCAGATTTATTTTTCTCTCTTTCAAGGTTAATTTTATGACACACTTCGAAGGCTTGTCCAATTGTACGAACTATATGCATAGCCTGAGACTAAATATTTAAATATATTATAAAGAACTAATAATTTATATTGGAAATTTCTTTTTTAAAGAAACTAACTTCTTTGCAATTAAAAATTGAAATGAAATCATGGCATTTCAACATAATATGTAAAATAAAATTAAGTTGTAAAAAATGTAATTTTTGATTTTTATCATTAAAGTATCATTTAACAATTTTGCAAAATTTTAAAACTATAAGTTCAACATTTTAGATTCTAATAATAGAAATAAATAAAGTACTCTGTTTAAAGTATAAAAAAAAACTAAAATATATATAGTATATATGTTTACATAGAATGTATGTATTATATATATATATATATATATATATATATATATATATATATATATATATATATATATATATATATATATATATATATATATATATATATATATATATATATATATATATATATATATATTAGGGCTGTACCTGATTTCGTTTTAAAAGCATTGAAAAGAGAAACCTCTTTATATAGTGACAACACTGGTTGATCCACAATTTAAAACTAAATTCTCCTTATTACAGGCAACACTGACAGCTGAAAAAGTAAGATCGAAGTCAATCTGAGCATGCTGACCAGAAGATTGACAAAACTGAAGAAAATCCACCAAAATAAGCCAGGCTGGATAATTTTTCTACATCATCATTATTCAATTGGCAATTTATTGATAAAATTATTCAGTCTACGTCCGCTGGTGGCGCAGCAAATGAACAACAATTATAAAAAGGCATTGACACTCAGCTACGCCAATATCTGGAAGAACCAGAAATAAATAGACACTCTGATCCACTACAATGGCGGAGTGATAACATCCCAGAAAAAAATTCAATAGAATTTCTATAAACTTTTGAAACATGGCCTTTAGAATTTCTATAAAATGTTTATTAATTTCTATAGAAATTGCTATAAAACTTTTTTAATAACAACAATGAAGTTTAACAGAAAACAGCTGTCACTTGGTATTCTAAATAGTCCACATTGTTGACCATTCTCAACAACAAGTAGGGATGTACAGGATTTTGGCTCCCGTAATTTTGTTTTGAGATATGGCTCCGATTCTGGCTGGATCTGTTAGTAGAAATCCGGCAAATCCGGCTTGGAAATTTTATTTTTCCAAATCCGGTCAAGCCAGATTTGGAAAACACACACAGGGTTGCCACTATAATTTTAAAAGTTTTCCCTGAGTATCCCCTGAGTTAAGTACATTTTCCCCCGATTTTAGTTTTTTAAAATCCCTGAGTTTTCCCTGAGTTTTCCAGATTCAATATATATATATATATATATATATATATATATATATATATATATATATATATATATATATATAAATATATATATATATATATATATATATATATATATATATATATATATATATATATTGAATGTGGAAAACTTTAAATCTTTGTTTAATGTACTACATGCTGTTACATGTAAATTCTTTTTTTTTTTCTACTTCTTTAATTTCATCTAATATGATTACTCTTTGGTGGTTTGATTCACACTCTTTAAATTCGCCTGCTCTGCTAAACTGATTTGGTACTGTTGTCTGGCTGAATTTACTGATAACATTAATGCATTTGTGATATTAATAGTGTCAGCTGGAATGTTCTGAGAATTCATATGATCTTCTATAATGCGATAAGAGACTATTGAGTTAAACTGAATATTTTCATTTTGAATTGTTTTGTTTATGCTGAAACCTTTTTCTACAAAAGCTTGACCATGACTAACCGTTAAAATCATTTTGATAATATGATTTTGTTTATTATGTTTGGCTATATCTAGTTGATGAAAATAGAAGATATCTGAACGAGTGGTTTTTTTATCAAAGCTAAGAAATTTTTTTATATTTATTTTTGTGTCATTTTTTAAAAATATTGAATACTGAAGAATGACATTATCACTTTGTTGCAGATATAATTTTTAAACTGACAAGATAATGTAACAATCTTTTTAGTTTATTTTGATTAGATTCAATTGTTAATGTTTTGAGATTGATTGGTTCGAAACAACTTGCACTCGCTATGATTGCAGAGTATAGTGGGATGCGTTTAAGTAAACTTTCCATGGTTTTTGTGAGAAATAAAACACATTCATTTCTAAACTGATTTATTTCATTAAGAGTTATATTATCTTTAACAAGGAGTTCTTTAATTGAAACTTCAGCCGCAAAACAAATAATAACATCTTTCCTTGGTAGCAAATTCTCTTTTTTATAGAGATCTATCTTTTACAAGTCACTACCTTTTTTGCAGCTTTGAATTACTGAAGGTTTAATAAATAGAGCTAAAATATTTGTTATCAATTCTTCAAGATCATTATGAAATCATTGGTTGATCAGTCTGATAGTGTCAAGTAGGTTTTTAACAAGCTGGCAACATAACTAAAAAATTGTAACTTTGAAACTGTCAGGGAGTCATTTGATGCTTTTTAAACAAACTTTTTAAGGAAGGCTGTTTAGACTTTGATAATTTTTGCCAAAATCTAATTAATTTTACAATGTGTCCCATATTTTGATTAGGCAATCAGCAACAATTTGGTCTTCAATCCATCTTGTTGAACAGAAACTTAATGGATACCAATTTGAGCCAGTAACACTGTTATAGTCATCCCTCTTAGCTGGAGTATCATGGAGTATTTGGTATGCTCCCTTTAGAATACTTTTTAGATTCCATGATGTAGACTCAGAACCTAATTTAAAAGTTCCATGTACTACATGCAAACTACAACACCCAATGTCAAGTAAAGAATTTAATTTGCACTCTATCTATCTATTTGCAAAACTATCATTTCAGTATATGTAAAGTTCTTTAAAAAATTTCCAATTTGTATTAGGCCCATCCATAGATACTTATCATTTTTGAAAAATCCAGATTATCCAGACCATTTCTATTTCTTTATTGAAATTTTTTAGAATATGTGCTGCAGAAGAATAACCAAGAAAAACTGAATTCAAATATCGCACATTAACCCAATTTTTTAAAGTACTCCAAAAACTAACCACAATATCCATTTGACAATTTTGTGTAACTTTGTTTAGACTTTCATCAAATGAGACAACATAACATGGCAAATTTTTGATACTTTCAAGAAGTAATGATTTAAAATATAGTGCTAATCCATAGTTAATCATATATCCTATTTTTGTTCTTTATATCCTAATGTTAATCCTTTTGTCACTTTGCTATCTGGAAAAATACTAGTAAATAATTCGCTCAAATTAGCAGATGCATTGTTTGACAATCCATTCATAACAGTTGCAAGAACCATCTTATTTACGAATTTATCATAACTTAAACTATTGTTAATAATTTAATAAAACATTATTTTCAAAATTGGAAAAAATTTTTCCCTGAGTTGTCCCTGAATATTAAATTAAAAAAAAAAAAATCCCTGAGTTTTCCAGGTTTTCCCTGGGATTCATGCTATTTCCAGGTTGAGTGGCAACCCTGTATATATATATATATATATATATATATATATATATATATATATATATATATATATATATATATATATATATATATATATATATATATTTATTCGACTATGGCCTTTTTTTAAAAACAATTTATTTGACTAAAAGTCAGTTTAGTCGAGTAAAAATCTTAAAATATATCTTTCATTCTTTTTTTCATTTCTTCGTTTTTGTTTGTTCATTTAATGAATAGCACATAATTAATAACATGTTAGCATTATTTATACCTAAATAAATTAGTAGTTATGTATTTCATTATTTTTTTTCTTTTGTTTACTCAATGCTTGTGATTTTTATAAACACTACAGGACCGTTCCAAGTTGGCTCGGGGCCCTGGGGCAAAATTTAGTTGTGAAGCTAAATCTAAATGTCATTTATTTAAACTAAAATCTAAATGTCATTTATACATTTACATTTTAAATATGATTGTATAAACTTCTGATATATTTAAGGTGATCCCTAAATTATTTGGGTCTAGGAATAAATTATCCTGTTCAGAGCGCCCCTTCTCTGATATCATTTTACTCCATTATTATTTAAATGATATGTTAAAAAATAGAAAGCAAATATAAATTATTTTACTATTTTTATGAAACTTTATTTCAAAAAAATAAATTTTTCCCATATTTCAACTAAATTGAATTTTAGTCAACCTAGTTGATTTCAAAAATCTATTAATTGATTTTAGTTGACTTTCGAAAATATATAAGTTATGACTTTTAAATAACTCGATAGTCAAGTTATTTAAAAGTCATAACAACACTTATATATATATATATATATATATATATATATATATATATATATATATATATATATATATATATATATATATATATATATATATATTTATATATATATATATATATATATATATATATATAAACATACTCTCTTGCATATCATTTTTAAGTTTTTACCATAAAATGTCAGTTTTAGGTGATTTTTTTTTTTTTAATTATTTTAAAAGCTGGAAAAAATTTAAAAAGTTTTTTTTTCAAATTATTTGATAGACTGCCTGCCTAAACTAAATCCTCAGTCGATGTAGCGACACTACATTGCTAGTCAGGCTATAAGATAGTCGATGTAGTAGCACTCCCTTGTAGCAGCAAGCTATAAGATAGTCGATGTGGCAACACTCCGCACATGTTTTACAGTAAAAAAATAAAAATAAAAACATTCAGAATGTTTTTATTTTTTAAAAATAAAAACATTCTGAATGTTTTTAAAAATATTGCAGTCTTTTAATTTGTGTTTTTGTGGTTTTTTGAATTTAGTTAGTTCCAGCAATTAAACTAATGCGTTTTAAATTTATCAATTTAAAAACCACAGACAATCAAAGAGCTGTTTTTTACCACAAACTGTATATCTAAGCCCTTTACTATATATATACAGTGGTTTTCATAAATTTAGACGCACTCATATTTGAGAATAGAAATTTTTAGTTTTTTAACGATAAAACGAAAAAAGATATCGGTTAAGTTTTTTTTCTATTTATTA